TGTCATTGGAGTACTAGGTGTTAGACTTATAGTCTTTTTACAGCATTTTTGACCAAAAAGGTCATTTCATGGTAGGAGTCTCAGACTTGGCTGGTCGACTCCTCAGGTCATTTGGGACATACTGAACCGAACATTTTTCACTTTGGAGCCAATGTTGAGATCGTCTTTGATCGCCCATAGCTCCACTCCCAGGGGTGAGCGGGGGTCAAGGACGGTGAAAACGTGACCTCCAGGTCAAGGTCTACCCGCATGCAAAGTTTCAATGCGCTGCGAGAATTTTTAATTTTTGGTGTCATTGGAGTACTAGGTGTTAGACTTATAGTCTTTTTACAGCATTTTTGACCAAAAAGGTCATTTCATGGTAGGAGTCTCAGACTTGGCTGGTCGACTCCTCAGGTCATTTGGGACATACTGAACCGAACATTTTTCACTTTGGAGCCAATGTTGAGATCGTCTTTGATCGCCCATAGCTCCACTCCCAGGGGTGAGCGGGGGTCAAGGACGGTGAAAACGTGACCTCCAGGTCAAGGTCTACCCGCATGCAAAGTTTCAATGCGCTGCGAGAATTTTTAATTTTTGGTGTCATTGGAGTACTAGGTGTTAGACTTATAGTCTTTTTACAGCATTTTTGACCAAAAAGGTCATTTCATGGTAGGAGTCTCAGACTTGGCTGGTCGACTCCTCAGGTCATTTGGGACATACTGAACCGAACATTTTTCACTTTGGAGCCAATGTTGAGATCGTCTTTGATCGCCCATAGCTCCACTCCCAGGGGTGAGCGGGGGTCAAGGACGGTGAAAACGTGACCTCCAGGTCAAGGTCTACCCGCATGCAAAGTTTCAATGCGCTGCGAGAATTTTTAATTTTTGGTGTCATTGGAGTACTAGGTGTTAGACTTATAGTCTTTTTACAGCATTTTTGACCAAAAAGGTCATTTCATGGTAGGAGTCTCAGACTTGGCTGGTCGACTCCTCAGGTCATTTGGGACATACTGAACCGAACATTTTTCACTTTGGAGCCAATGTTGAGATCGTCTTTGATCGCCCATAGCTCCACTCCCAGGGGTGAGCGGGGGTCAAGGACGGTGAAAACGTGACCTCCAGGTCAAGGTCTACCCGCATGCAAAGTTTCAATGCGCTGCGAGAATTTTTAATTTTTGGTGTCATTGGAGTACTAGGTGTTAGACTTATAGTCTTTTTACAGCATTTTTGACCAAAAAGGTCATTTCATGGTAGGAGTCTCAGACTTGGCTGGTCGACTCCTCAGGTCATTTGGGACATACTGAACCGAACATTTTTCACTTTGGAGCCAATGTTGAGATCGTCTTTGATCGCCCATAGCTCCACTCCCAGGGGTGAGCGGGGGTCAAGGACGGTGAAAACGTGACCTCCAGGTCAAGGTCTACCCGCATGCAAAGTTTCAATGCGCTGCGAGAATTTTTAATTTTTGGTGTCATTGGAGTACTAGGTGTTAGACTTATAGTCTTTTTACAGCATTTTTGACCAAAAAGGTCATTTCATGGTAGGAGTCTCAGACTTGGCTGGTCGACTCCTCAGGTCATTTGGGACATACTGAACCGAACATTTTTCACTTTGGAGCCAATGTTGAGATCGTCTTTGATCGCCCATAGCTCCACTCCCAGGGGTGAGCGGGGGTCAAGGACGGTGAAAACGTGACCTCCAGGTCAAGGTCTACCCGCATGCAAAGTTTCAATGCGCTGCGAGAATTTTTAATTTTTGGTGTCATTGGAGTACTAGGTGTTAGACTTATAGTCTTTTTACAGCATTTTTGACCAAAAAGGTCATTTCATGGTAGGAGTCTCAGACTTGGCTGGTCGACTCCTCAGGTCATTTGGGACATACTGAACCGAACATTTTTCACTTTGGAGCCAATGTTGAGATCGTCTTTGATCGCCCATAGCTCCACTCCCAGGGGTGAGCGGGGGTCAAGGACGGTGAAAACGTGACCTCCAGGTCAAGGTCTACCCGCATGCAAAGTTTCAATGCGCTGCGAGAATTTTTAATTTTTGGTGTCATTGGAGTACTAGGTGTTAGACTTATAGTCTTTTTACAGCATTTTTGACCAAAAAGGTCATTTCATGGTAGGAGTCTCAGACTTGGCTGGTCGACTCCTCAGGTCATTTGGGACATACTGAACCGAACATTTTTCACTTTGGAGCCAATGTTGAGATCGTCTTTGATCGCCCATAGCTCCACTCCCAGGGGTGAGCGGGGGTCAAGGACGGTGAAAACGTGACCTCCAGGTCAAGGTCTACCCGCATGCAAAGTTTCAATGCGCTGCGAGAATTTTTAATTTTTGGTGTCATTGGAGTACTAGGTGTTAGACTTATAGTCTTTTTACAGCATTTTTGACCAAAAAGGTCATTTCATGGTAGGAGTCTCAGACTTGGCTGGTCGACTCCTCAGGTCATTTGGGACATACTGAACCGAACATTTTTCACTTTGGAGCCAATGTTGAGATCGTCTTTGATCGCCCATAGCTCCACTCCCAGGGGTGAGCGGGGGTCAAGGACGGTGAAAACGTGACCTCCAGGTCAAGGTCTACCCGCATGCAAAGTTTCAATGCGCTGCGAGAATTTTTAATTTTTGGTGTCATTGGAGTACTAGGTGTTAGACTTATAGTCTTTTTACAGCATTTTTGACCAAAAAGGTCATTTCATGGTAGGAGTCTCAGACTTGGCTGGTCGACTCCTCAGGTCATTTGGGACATACTGAACCGAACATTTTTCACTTTGGAGCCAATGTTGAGATCGTCTTTGATCGCCCATAGCTCCACTCCCAGGGGTGAGCGGGGGTCAAGGACGGTGAAAACGTGACCTCCAGGTCAAGGTCTACCCGCATGCAAAGTTTCAATGCGCTGCGAGAATTTTTAATTTTTGGTGTCATTGGAGTACTAGGTGTTAGACTTATAGTCTTTTTACAGCATTTTTGACCAAAAAGGTCATTTCATGGTAGGAGTCTCAGACTTGGCTGGTCGACTCCTCAGGTCATTTGGGACATACTGAACCGAACATTTTTCACTTTGGAGCCAATGTTGAGATCGTCTTTGATCGCCCATAGCTCCACTCCCAGGGGTGAGCGGGGGTCAAGGACGGTGAAAACGTGACCTCCAGGTCAAGGTCTACCCGCATGCAAAGTTTCAATGCGCTGCGAGAATTTTTAATTTTTGGTGTCATTGGAGTACTAGGTGTTAGACTTATAGTCTTTTTACAGCATTTTTGACCAAAAAGGTCATTTCATGGTAGGAGTCTCAGACTTGGCTGGTCGACTCCTCAGGTCATTTGGGACATACTGAACCGAACATTTTTCACTTTGGAGCCAATGTTGAGATCGTCTTTGATCGCCCATAGCTCCACTCCCAGGGGTGAGCGGGGGTCAAGGACGGTGAAAACGTGACCTCCAGGTCAAGGTCTACCCGCATGCAAAGTTTCAATGCGCTGCGAGAATTTTTAATTTTTGGTGTCATTGGAGTACTAGGTGTTAGACTTATAGTCTTTTTACAGCATTTTTGACCAAAAAGGTCATTTCATGGTAGGAGTCTCAGACTTGGCTGGTCGACTCCTCAGGTCATTTGGGACATACTGAACCGAACATTTTTCACTTTGGAGCCAATGTTGAGATCGTCTTTGATCGCCCATAGCTCCACTCCCAGGGGTGAGCGGGGGTCAAGGACGGTGAAAACGTGACCTCCAGGTCAAGGTCTACCCGCATGCAAAGTTTCAATGCGCTGCGAGAATTTTTAATTTTTGGTGTCATTGGAGTACTAGGTGTTAGACTTATAGTCTTTTTACAGCATTTTTGACCAAAAAGGTCATTTCATGGTAGGAGTCTCAGACTTGGCTGGTCGACTCCTCAGGTCATTTGGGACATACTGAACCGAACATTTTTCACTTTGGAGCCAATGTTGAGATCGTCTTTGATCGCCCATAGCTCCACTCCCAGGGGTGAGCGGGGGTCAAGGACGGTGAAAACGTGACCTCCAGGTCAAGGTCTACCCGCATGCAAAGTTTCAATGCGCTGCGAGAATTTTTAATTTTTGGTGTCATTGGAGTACTAGGTGTTAGACTTATAGTCTTTTTACAGCATTTTTGACCAAAAAGGTCATTTCATGGTAGGAGTCTCAGACTTGGCTGGTCGACTCCTCAGGTCATTTGGGACATACTGAACCGAACATTTTTCACTTTGGAGCCAATGTTGAGATCGTCTTTGATCGCCCATAGCTCCACTCCCAGGGGTGAGCGGGGGTCAAGGACGGTGAAAACGTGACCTCCAGGTCAAGGTCTACCCGCATGCAAAGTTTCAATGCATATATCTGAATACTGTATATCTTTGAACAATATTCCTGAACTTTGTAAAACATATTGTACCAACTCTTCGTATACTAGAATGCTTGGGGAAAAAACAATTCAATTGTAGTATGGGCCTGAGGCTTTACATTACTGAAATAAATGTATGTGTATGTGTTTCTGTATGTCTATGTCCGATATGCATTTACACCAATCAAACGCAACAGATGAACTTTGGACCTTGTGTTTCATACGTCAAATGTTCTAAACTCGAAGACAAGACAAGAAATGAAACGTTTGCTTTCTTTATGGATTTTTTCACACCTTGCTCTTTAGTTCGTCCCCGCCCTTATGTCTTACCACCGTCTCACAGAAACAATGTATTTCACTTTGAATGGCCCTCAGTATACACCTTGAAACATTTATTGGAACAAACAAAAAGTCAAGAGAATTTTGGTGATGGTCCCCAGAAAAGAGAAAATAGTGCAAACTTTCGTACAGCACCGCGTCGCGACTAGAGACAGTTTGGACAAAGAACGGCCACGGGATAATTCCACAGAATGTTCCATACACTACTGACAATTCAAACATGGGGAACGATCATTTCCATTTTTTTGGAACTAGTTTTTATCAACGACGGCCCACTAATATGCCACGTCAGGGAGAATTCCTTTCACAAAATTTCACAAAAAGCTTTACTACTAGCTTGCGTGCTATTTACATTGGTCTGGGTCCTTAGCTTTTGTTCCTAACATATTTATTTGTCTCTTCGGAGACCATCTTAACGCTGCCAACGTCCTCTTGCGTTCATTTCCTTCCAGTCAGAATTGTACGACTTCCTTGCAGCCATTGCAGCCATGGCTCCCTCGCGCCAGTCACCTAAAGTCGCCGATTGCATATTATACAATAGAGAGGAATATGACGAGTCCTTTTCACATTGTGTAGGTAAGTTATATTAAGGTTGTATTGAGCAGAACGTGCAAAGGTAAATTGTCTTTGCAGCAACAGAAAATCGAAAAAAAGCTCTGTCCACGAGAGAGCTTCAGTTTCTGTTCACTCTTTCTGCCACGCCCAACACGCCAAATTAAACAACGGGGTTGTCGGCATCTTAATTGTGGGTAAATGTATGTTTTGGACAGGTGGGATTTTTAATAAATGCATACAAAATATGATTTGAATCTTTCATGTTTTGTTTTATCATGTTTATTGAACTGAGTATCATCATACACTCAGCTGGGATGCTGACAGATTTGCACATTGATGCTCACTGTAACCATTATGGCACAGCTAGTATGGTAAGACAAGCATGTTGGACAATCTGAGGATAGAACTAGTAGGTTTTCAGTGTAGAGCAATGACCAATAGGTATATCCAGCAGTATAGGTCAGCACTGTGTACTGGGTAAAGTGACACACAGTAAGCCAGCTCACACATCCCGACCACCGGGCTACAGTTGGCTGACTACATGGGTTCTATGGACCTGACATACAGCACATACAGCAGTCACCCTGGGATGATTGGATAGTCACAGAGAATGAGACAAGCCTTTCTGGGTACCTTTTTATTTGTTTTTTTTATTAAAACCTGCACCTGTGGAGGAATACAATAAACTGGTGCTGCATTTGGTATGATTTCATGCACACTCTTTGTTTTGTCCAACAGTTTATGTCACTGAAAAGGTATTGAGTTGAACTTGAATCTGATGTGGTTGTCTTCCTCATGAAAATAGTAGTAGTCAGCCTCAGTGTCTCCTGGTAGCCTCAGGGTTAAAGTGTCCACTTGTCATGCCAGGTACAGGTTCAACTGAGTATAATGTGTGAAGCCCATTTCTGGTTTCCTCCACCATGATATTAATGTAGTATTGTCTAAAGTCACATTAAACCACTGACTGACTGACTGACTGACTGACTGACTGACTGACTGTAATTGTGGCTAAGGACATTGTTGGTGTATCTGGCACCTTCCGTAGGGTGAGCATACAGTTATACTTACACAAATACCTCATTAATTCCACCTTGTCAAGCAAACTTATAATACATCTTTCTTGTACAACTCAGGTCAGGGGGTTTAGAGTTAATCAGATTATCATGTACGAGACAATGGTCGCCATTCACAGGCCCAAGAACACCTGAAGAGTAAAATACTAATAAATGTTCAGGGGTGCTGAGTAATCCTTGTGGGTTCAATAATAATTTGATGAAGACCAAAAGTTGCCTGCAAATATTCTAATGGTTTAAAGATACTAAGGTAATCAATCTGTATTAATATTACCTGCTAGCATTGAATCAATACCATTAACATATCAATCAAGCCCCAGCATTGACTACTTTAAGTATGTTACAACATCCCTATCACAGATCAACAGGTGTTCCTTCTTACAAGTGATTTTCATCCAAAATGTCTTGAGTCCTATTAATAAGTTATCCATGCATTTAGTAAATAAGTTGTCATTAATATAGATGGCAACACCCGCGACCCTTGTAGATATATCTGGAGTAAATGCACTGCGGAAACCTGGTAGTAATTCTTCATTTAAAATATGAGAGTGCAGCCATGTTTTTGTAATATATATTATATTACATTATGTCATTAAATTTGATGTTAATAATATGAATCTTGTAATTGGGACTTCCTATACTACTCAGCTGTATCCCCTCTTGCTGAAAGTACAGATGAACTAGATAATATAATATAGATGTAGTCTGTGTTTAAATCTCTTTGTACAAAGAACCTTACAATTAAATGCCCTGATTCTCTGTTGATACTGTACAATACCTACTCCTCTCAAACACTTTCATAGGATCAATTTGGATAGAAACTCAGAGTCTGCAAAGTAAAGTGTCAAGATAGTTGTTTTAATATAAGAATTATGGATCATTTATCATATCTGTATCAGAATGCATGAGCTGGTGGCATGTGGTCCTGTGCCTTTGAAATGTGACTCTGTTCACCCAGCAGTGAATGGGTACCCAGTAGGATGAGATGTCAATGTGACGGTTAACCTGCAAGTGCCTCAAAGCAGTTTGGGTTGTATACTCCCTAGGGAGCTGAGTATGTTTGTTAAGTGCACACTGATCCATTGAACGGGTAATAAGTGTGCTTTTAGCAACCACAGAGTGGATGGAAAACAGCGCCTAACAAATGCACTTGTGTTGTATGAAATGTGAATGCAGTATAGATTTTCAAATGTGAAAAAAAAATAATGCAAAACAGGCATAATAAATATAGTAAAATGACAGATTTTCACATCATCTGTATATAATCTGCATGTTAACCTCTCACACTAGACATGTCAGCACAATAGAGGTCACTCATAAGGCATTTTTCCATTAACCATGACAAAATAGAGTTCAGAATAAATAATCATAATAACTAAAGATATGCACTGAAAGTCAAGTCACAGTTTAGATGATTGATTGATGGCAGTAATGCCGCTCTAGAGATCAGAATTATGTTGACAAATAGAGTGAGGCACCTAACCACAAGCTCACAAACTCAGCGATCTAACCCACTCAGCCACCGAGGCTTAGAAAGTGTTATCCCAAATATAACATTTTTAACATTATAAATAACATTGTATGTTCACATTTCAAATTGTTATGGTTCTTAGTATAAAGTTATCATTACAAGTTAAAAATGTAGATATATATTATATAAAATATGTCTCACTGTATTGTCACTTTAACACCTATCTTTAAAGTCACATGTCAATAGAGTTATTTAGTTGTCCAGCAGCACTAAGGAATTCAAGGGGAGTCTGAATCCTTCTATGAATTTGTCCGCAACCTCTCAGTGTAAGTCCTCTTAAGGGATTGGGACGGGCACCATGAACCATCTGAGCTTACTTGGTACTGACCCACTGTGGTACACTTGCCCAGGCAGCCACCCTGTGCCATTACACGCATCCGCGTTCGCTTTTGTTTATTCCAACTTTTGGTTGAACCGGGCCTTCCGGTTTTTCTGTCGATGTTATGGTTGCAGAATAAACTGCATTGAGTTGACACTGCTGTGTTGACTAATCCTTGGCACTGTGCATATTTCCAGTGAACACAAGTCAGCCGCTGGTTGTTGAGTCTGTATCTGAAGCCATGGAGGAGGACTTGCCTACCGCCTTTCTGCCACGTGAAGTATTCAACTTTCTTTGGATTTGTCATAGTTTAGATTCCATGATAAGCATTTTATAACTATACATTTCCTTCTCCATTTTGAGTAAAGAAAACCAAATTCTTATTTCTCATGAAATATCTCAAACTTGACTCTAAATTGCCATCAAAATACTGATATATCAAACAGATTCCAAAGAGGTGCCCTTTGCTATTTTACAGATTTGGGACATTTCATTTTCTTGTTTCCATGGAAACAATTTGGAGTTAGTGTCAAAAGGTGGGGGTAGGTGTCGTTTCCAGAGCACAACTTGAAAACTGGGAAAGACTTTTCATGTAAACCTGGTACATGTATTAATCAAGGGCTGAAGTGGTGCTTTTTGCTATTTTTGAATTTAAAAAGAACAAGTTCCTGTTTCCAAGGCAACAAGATTGACTGATTGTTGATAGTGGTGTATGTGTTTGTTCTAACCATATATCTAATACTAAAAGGTATTGGAGGTTTGGTGAAAAGGGATTTTCTCCAGTTGGAGTTATATGTTTCAATATAAGTATTTATTTTGAATTTGTTTTATGGAGCTTAAAGAGTCAGAAATTATAAGAACGTGTTTTGTTTTGTTTTTTAAATATTTTTATTTAAATTCAGTAGACATATATGTAACATTGGTACATGAGGTATATACATGTAGCTATTCATGGAATCTTAAAACATGATCAGATATGGATAAGTACATCTATTGATTGACTGAGAAATTATAATCAGTAGGCTGATAATTCCATCCATTTTCTGTCGAATCTCTTAATACTACTATTTTCATTGCGATGAATCTTTTTATGCATACATCTCTCAACATTTTATGAAAAAAGGAAAGCATAATGGAGTTTTCTTAGTGCTTGACTGGTGAATGTATTTTTTTGCAAGAAGAATTATGAGGTTGAATAGGTAGTTGTTTTTGTTGTAGCAAAATAACTTATCCAGAATGCTAATATGAATATCATAAGCAAGTTTCGAGTTAAAGTACATTTCAATTTCTAACCAAAATTCCTTTACAAAAACACATTCTACATACACATGGTATAAGTTTTCAGATTCAGAGACATAAAATGAGCATTTATCATCATCTATTAAGTTCATTTTCCATAATTCCTTTTTGGTATATACAGCTCTATTTTTAATTCTGTACTGGAAATCTATTAGTTTAACATCATTGGTACACAATCTACAATTAGAGAAAGCGTTATTCAATAAAATGCTTTGATTAAGTTAATTTTCCCATTTATCACACATCAGAGGAAAGTTAGTTTATAGCTATGAGTTTATCATAAAATATTCTCGAGCCCTTTGTTCTTATCAACAAGTCTCTCAAAAAAACTTTAAAGTATACATAAGTTAGCTGTGATAGAAGATCTGCCATTTATTGCTTTTTTCCATGATTTAGGGATATTTAGCATTACTCTGTTGTAGTCAAGTATAGTACCTTTAATTTGAAATTGGTTTTGTAATTCTTCAAATATTCAAAATCTGTTGTTGCTATATAAAACTTTTAAACTATGAATACGCTTATTAAACCAAAGTTTTAGAATGAAATTATTTTTATATTGGTGATTGAACCATTATGGATCTGATAAAATTTTGTCAATACGTTGTTTGTCAACTTTGTTTTCTGTAGTAATTACCCCAAATACTCAATATGTCCCCCCAAAAGGGAATTTTCAAAGTAATACACTTATCAATATTTGCTCCCAATAGGAATGTCTGTTTTGATTGGAAGTTCTTTAATGTTGACGAAGTCAGTTTTTGTAAACTTGTCCTTAAAAATGATCATTTCAATGAATCAATAGATTGGCTGGTATCTATCATTCTCAGACCACCTTCTTCATATTTCCTTATCAAGGCAGATCTTTTTATTTTGTCTGGTTTGTTATTCCAAATGAATGTATAAAATAGTTTATTAAATTTTCCAATAAATTTATCAGGTGGGTTTGGAAGTGCTGAAAATATATGAACTAATGTTGAACAAGACAGAGTCTTAAAAACTGTGATTGTACCTGTTAATGATAGATGTCTTTTTTTCCAGCTTCCCAGTAATGTATTAATATGTTCCAGTCTTTTTCTTGTATTTATTACCCATGGATCAAGTAATGTGGGATTAAATATTATTCCCAAGACTTCCAAGTTTCCCTCATGCCAGTCTAATATCATGTCTTCATGTCTTCTAGTTTTTGATGCTGCTTCCTGCCATTGAACCTATCCATATAGCTTTAGTTTTGTCAATATTTACCTTAAGACTGGATATTCTATAAAATTTATTCAAAGTATCAATTGCAGCTCTTCAGATCCATCTAAAAATAACTGTGTATCATCTGCATATTGACCTAATTTATACTCCATACCATTTATTGTTATTACTTTTATGCCGGCATCCTCTTTGGTTCAGAAAAGGGTGGAGAGATGTCAATTTTGTATTACACAAGATGATGCATTCTTAGTTAAGATATTAATCCATTTAATTATGTTTGGTCCAAAACCAAATTTTTACATAACCATTTTTTCATAATTATAAGAAAGTTGGTTTGGTTCAGGGTTTTCGCTTGGTGTAGTGCTGCTGATATGGCCAGAAATTCTGCTGTATTTGAATTTTTGTGATGATAATTACTGGTTATTGTGGGGTTGGTCTACATGGATACCTATGCTGGTGTTGTTTGTGTCTTGTGATGCATCGGTGTATGTGTGGTATGTGATGGCCAGTTTGTGTCTTGTGATGCATCGGTGTATGTGTGGTATGTGATGGGCAGCTTGTGTCTTGTGATGCATCTGTGTATGTGTGGTATGTGATGGCCAGTTTGTGTCTTGTGATGCATCGATGTATGTGTGGTATGTGATGGCCAGTTTGTGTCTTGTGATGCATCGGTGTATGTGTGGTATGTGATGGCCAGTTTGTGTCTTGTGATGCATCGGCGTATGTGTGGTATGTGATGGCCAGCTTGTGTCTTGTGATGCATCGGTGTATGTGTGGTATGTGATGGCCAGTTTGTGTCTTGTGATGCATCGGTGTATGTGTGGTATGTGATGGCCAGTTTGTGTCTTGTGATGCATCGGTGTATGTGTGGTATGTGATGGCCAGTTTGTGTCTTGTGATGCATCGGTGTATGTGTGGTATGTGATGGCCAGTTTGTGTCTTGTGATGCATCGGTGTATGTGTGGTATGTGATGGCCAGCTTGGGTTGATAACTTGAGATGGGACGGTAGGAGTCAGGCTTGTTTGGGGTTTTTCCTCATTTGAGGACTGGTACTATATCAGAATGTTTCCATTGAAGGGGTATAGTGCCCGTTGTCTATATTTAGTTTTTGTATTCTAATTAGGATTTTGTTTATGATTATGTAACTGATATTATCTTGTCCTGTGGCTGAGGCTGTGTTTTTGGTGTTGGCTCAGCAGCTTGTTTTAAAAAAGTTGGCAGCGATTGCAATAGTTTTGGCTTTATTTGTGGTGAGGTTCTTAATGTTTGGGTAAATAGATTTTAGGGAATTAACTTTTATGGCTTTAAAATTTGTGGTGAGGTTCTTAATGTTGGGGTAAATAGATTTTAGGGAATTAACTTTTATGGCTTTAAATTTTTTCCACAATAGCAGTGTTTTGTCTGCTTATGTTTCATTTTTACTGAAAGTTTGCCAGTGTATTCTCTTTGCGCTGCCATGATTATTTGTTTAGTTGTGTTGCTCAGATTTATAACTACAGGTAGTTTAGAACAGTCTCTCTTAAAATGATTGGGAGCCTTTTTTCTTTGTTTTCTAGCCTTGATTATTTTGTTGCTCCACCAAGGGACTGGGGTGTGTAAGAAGTTATTTATATAGGTGGGTGTCTGTGTCGGTGTTTTGTATTCGTGATCATGTGATGTGTCAGATTGATGGCAGAGTTTGATGAACAGTGGCCAGTTTCTTTGTTTTAAATTAAAATTTGTTTGCTGGGTGTTTCCTGAAGTTTGATCGTTTGTTAAAAGGGATTTGTTTATTATATTTAGTATAATTTTAAGGACCAGTGATCACTGCCCCATGTGACATTATGAACTTCCCAGCCTGTTTTTTTAACAGATTTGCTGTCAAAGAGATAGTTATGAATGACATGGTGATGGGTATAACTTTGAGATAATTTTAGTTCAGTGATATGACTTTAGTTTATTTTTCAACTGTGGGTGGCAGTTAGGAAGCTGGCATAAGATGTTTGGTAGAGTTTGAACTTGTGAGCAAGGCTTTTGTATTTTTAACAATATAACAAGAAGGGCAGCTGCTATGAACTTTATAAGTTTGTTATGTTGTTATATTTTGGTTGAGTTATGGTTGCTGAAGGTGCTGTTTTTAAGTTTTGATTTTTCTTTGCTTTTCTGTTATTTTGCTGAGTAATGTGGGTGGTGGTGTAGGTGTATGGGTGTTGGAGTGGTTGGGCGTGCTGGTGGGATTGGGGGTTGTGATAGTGGATGGTTGTATGGGTGTTTGAGTGGTTGGGCGTGCTGACGGGATTGGGGGTTGTGATAGTGGATGGTTGGATGGGTGTTTGAGTGGTTGGGCGTGCTGGTGGGATTGGGGGTTGTGATGGTGGTGTGGTTGTATGGGTGTTTGAGTGGTTGGGCGTGCTGACGGGATTGGGGGTTGTGATAGTGGATGGTTGGATTGTAGTGGTATGGGGAGGGGGGATTTAAATTGTGGTTTGGGCCTGGGTATTGACTGTAGTAAGGGCCGGGGTTGGGAGTTGGTGTGGTTTAAGGGGAAGGGTAGGATAGGATGTGTATGTGTATTAGGTTTGGTAGGGGGTGGAGGGTAGGGGGTGGAGGGTAGGGGGTGGGGGATGTATGTCTGTCTGCATGGTTTCTGTGTGTTTGGAGATGGGTTGAGAAGTTGTGAGTATCTGTTTTGGCTTAGGTTTTTGTCTTTGAGATTGTGGTTTCTGGTTGTTTGGGGGAGTGGGGGGAGGGGTTGGAAGGAACTAACTGTAGAATCTAGGGTTTGGTCTGAGAGTGGTAGGATT